GCATGGTCAACATGGTCAACGAACGACACCATCAGAAGTAGACTATGCTGGGTCCACGGCCGCACACAAGGAAATGCCTCCTTATTACGTGCAAAATAATGATTCCTCCACCTGACATCTGGGACCCACCGGAAGGGCCTCTGTATTTCGTGAAAAAAATGTGCCCCCCGCTGACATGTCGGACCCACCATCTATCTTCGCACGCAAGGAAGTGCCTCCTTATTACGCACACAAAAATGAATACTCCCCCTGCCAGCTGGAACCCAGCATAGTGGGAGGCTGACTTGTGGGCCTACCAAGTTGACGGGGACGGAGGGCTTTGTCAACTTAGTCAATATGAACGATTCTAGCTTCTGTTACCGTACGATGTTCATCCAACGGCCGTAGTGCTTCTTCAACCTCTGGTCTTCTTGCTCCAGCCGCCCAAACCAGCGCCGGTCGTGTCGCGTGCTCCTGCCTCCCGTGGCCGGCTATGATGCCGCGGAGGCCTCACCGCCCCCTACTACTCCCACCGCTGGCCAGGCCATCCCTATACTCACCCGCACCCCCTGTTATTCTGTGGCGACAACAGCCTCACACCGCAGCCGAACCAGTGAACCCTCGTACTCCTCTTCGCGTGGGCATCCACTGCTGCGTCTTCCCCGGCTTTGAGTCGTCCCCTTCCTAGGCCTCGCCGTCGTCCATCGCCGTGGTGCTCTCGGCACGGCGTGGTCAACATGGTCAAGGAACGACTTCCATCGGACGTGGACTGTACGTGGAGAGGCTGACAGCTGGGTCCACGGCCGCAGCAAGGAAGTGCCTCCTTATTACGCGCAAAATAATAATTCCTCCACCTGACAGCGGGGACCCACCGGACGGGCCATCGTATTTCACGAAAAAAACGTTTTCCCCTGACTGCTGGGACCCACCAGCTACATCTTCGGACGCAAGGAAGTGCGCCCGGGCAAAAAAATGATTCGCCCCCCTGACTGCTGGGACCCACCAGCTACATCTTCGCACGCAATGAAGTACGTCCGGGATAAAAAACGATTCGCCCCCCTAACTGCTGGGACCCACCAGCTACATCTTCGCACGCAAGGAAGTGCGTCCGGGCAAAAAAACGATTCACCCCCCTGACTGCTAGGACCCACCAGCTACATCTTCGCAGGCAAGGAAGTGCCTGACAGTCGGGACCCACCTGATCGAAGCGTACATAGCATTGTCATTCTGGTCGCGAACGTGTACGTACATACTGGTCGATGTATAGGCGCGCACGTGTCGTAGTAGAGGCGCGCATGTAGCATGTACACGTACGTACAACGGCCAGGATGCAAGAAAGAAAATACGGTCACCTACGTACATACGGACGGGGTCTCGAACGCCTACTCGCGCATACGTACGGCCAGGGCTCGTGAACATGGTTGGGTCAAAACGGAGAAACAGCGTCATCGTCGTGTTCATGGGGAGGCAACAGAATGCGTCGTGTTCATGGGGAGGCAACGGAATGCGTCGTGTTCACGGGGAGGCAACGGAATGCGTCGTGTTCATGGGGAGGCAACGGAATGCGTCGTGTTCATCGGGAGGCAACAGAACGCGTGGGAGCCAACCGGCTGGGTCGGAACGGAATGTGTGGTCGTGTTCATTGGGAGGGCTTGGACGGAACAGGCGATGGAAACGAGGCCTGGCATACCGTGCAACGGAGGAAACGGACCTCCTACATTCGGAACGGGGTCCTGTTGATCGGGAGGGGTCTGGCGTACCGCAAAATGGACGAAACGGACCTCCTACGGTCGAAACGGGGGTCCTGTTGATCGGGAGGAGTGTGGCGTATCGCAAAACGGAGGAAACGGACCTCCTAAGGTCGAAACGGAGGTCCTGTTGATCGGGAGGGGTGTGGCGTACCACAAAACGGACAAAACGGACTTGTGTTGGAGCGCTACGGTCGAAACGGGGGTCCTGTTCATCGTGAGAGGTGTGGTGTACCGCAAAACGGGACTCCACGGAATACTGTTCATCTCCACCATCGGCCTCCTCCAGCCTCCACGGGCTCCTGTTCATCCAGCCTCCACCATCCGCTACTCCACCGGCTACTATTCAACCACCCCTCCATGGGCACCCCTCCACCGTCTACTATTCATCTAGCCCTCCACACCACGGGGTCCTATTCAACCACCCCTCCACGGGCACCCCTCCACCGTCTACTGTTCATTCAGCCCTCCACACCACGGGGTCCTGTTCATCCAGAGGCAACGCCACCGCTCACTGTTCATCCAACCCCCCTCCCCCCCGCAACGCTCACTGTTCATCCAATCAATCGGCTTCAGTTAGCAGCAGTAGCGAAGGAATCGCTCGATCGGGTTCAGTTAACAGCCATCGATCGATCGCTCGGGTTCAGTAACGCGTAGCCTGCAGTGCAATCGCTTGGGTTCAGTTAGAGCCCAACGCCTCGCTCGGGTTCAGTTAGAGCCAACGCCTCGCACACACGCGCGTACGTGTACGAGAGAAACGTGCATCGCTCGGCCCCCGACCATCCACCGTAACCGGGAACTCCCCAACATTTTCCTCGCCCTCGCTTCTACCACGGTTTTTCCGTCATGGACGGCCCAAAGAATGTCATGCAGCTGCGTCTCCGGCCCGCCCAGGACGAAAAGCCCATTTTCTGTCATCATTTTTTGTCATAGAAGTAGGAGCCCACCACATCTGTGATGATACCGGGTTTTGTCACAATTATCGTCATAGAAGTGTCATATGTATGACAGAAAAAAGTTTCGTTCGGCCCAAAATGTCACGGATGTGTCTTTTTTTTGTAGTGCTTTACTCGTTTTGTAATGCATCATCCCGCAACTAACTCATTAGTCACATTGCTTGCAAGGCTTCATATGATGTGTATTGCCGAGAGGGCCCAGAGATACCTCTCCGATACTCGGAGTGACAAATTCTAATCTCGGTCTATGCCAACCCAACAAACACCTTCGGAGATACCTGTAGAGCATCTTTATAATCACCCAGTTACGTTCTGACGTTTGATAGCACACAAGGTATTCCTCCGGTGTCTGCGAGTTGCATAATCTCGTAGTTGGAGGAATATGTATTTGACATGAAGAAAGCAGTAGCAATAAAACTAAACGATCATTATGCTAAGCTAATGGATGGGTCTTGTCCATCACATCATTCCACTAATGATGTGATCCCGTTCATCAAATGACAACACATGTCCATGGCTAGGAAACTTAATTATCTTTGATCAACGAGCTAGTCTAGTAGAGGCATACTAGGGACATGGTGTTTTGTCTATGTATTCACACATGTATCAAGTTTCCGGTTAATACAATTCTAGCATGAATAATAAAGATTTATCATGAATAAGGAAATATAAAATAACAACTTTATTATTGCCTCTAGGGCATATTTCCTTCAGGAACTGCCCGGCGGAGTGGTTGCAACCAGCACGCAGAGGAGCTGCCATCATTGGGCGGCTGAGCTAGGGATCGTGAAAAGGTTGTGCTGGCACATATGGGCTGAGAAGGTGCAACCAGCGGGCGACCATGCTAGGACCATGAACCGGCAGTGCAGGAACCAGCGGGTGACGAAGCTACAACCGGTAGGAGCCGAAGCTACGAGCAGTGGCGAGATGGTGGAACCAATGGTTCGGGATGCTGGGACTGGGAACTCTGGGTGCTACAACGGTTACCACTAGATGTTGGGCTCAATCACCCAGGATGCTTCGACCGGGCACAACAAGATGTTGGAACCGACCAAGAGGGGTGAGACCACGGGCACCACAATGTGCTGCAACTAGCCACTGGGGGGATTGCTGGACCCGTGCTAGGAAAAGCTATGATAGGGGCACCCAATGTTGCAAGCGGCGGGGCATTAATTATGCAGCAAGAAAGCCCAAATATATTCAATTGAATTCAATTAACATACTCCGGCGCCCTGAGCGTCACACATCCTTTCATGTGCCAGCCTTCAATAAACACCTCTCCTGACGCCTCGCATCCATCCGCTATTTAAGTGTGGCCACGCAAGAAACATACAACACCTCTGCTCTCCATATCCTTGTACCACACCCGCCATGGCCTCCTTGAGCTCCAACCCTTTGGAGCAACCTCTCATCCTAGCAGAAGAAGGAGATCACCGGTATTGCGGCCGGCTGGGTGGCCCAACGAGCCAACAGAATAGAGTTTGGCTTGTCGGCAAGCTCTCTGGAGTCAGGCACCACAGTCATCGCCAGGCCATCCTCTCCAGTCAAGCTGGCCAATGACGTCTCTCGACAAATCGGTCATGAGCGATGGCGGCAACACGTCCAGCAAGCGGAGACAAAAGCCATGTTCGTGGAGGTCGATGCGTAGGTGGAGAAATTTGACCAGGGCACCGACGACATCCTTGTGGTGGACATGTGTCCTTAGACTCCGCCGTTGCGACGGCATTTGCTCCAACGTCGGTGCGGAGCTTGGAAGGTAGTCCGGGAGCAGATGTAAATTGTGGTCTGCATCGACGAGATCTGGAAGACGGGGCTTTTACTTGGCCCATGGTTGATTGATGGCAGGTATAGTTTCCTCCTTGGGCGTCTTAGTCGTGGTGGGGTGCCGGATCTGGAGTTCGATGTCGTGTCCAGAGTGTTGCCCTTGTCTGAATCGGTCAACGGCAAGGGCTTCACTTTTGGTGAACCACCTTGGAGGTCCGCAAATCTACATATCAGCGATGGAGCCGCGTTGAGCTCGCTGAGGAGGTGATCCGTCATTTTCTTTTTCGTTCGGTGGCTGGTGTGGTGGTGCTGGAGGCAAGTGACGGGCATTGGTGTCAAACTCAGGGACGTTCTGTCGTCTTTTCAGTTTTGTCATGTCAGTCTTTACGTGACTTGGACTTTAATAGAAGTTACAGTAATTTCTAAACATGAACTACTTCGAGAATTTGCCACAGATCCAAAACTTGAATAATTTTCCACAAGCATCGTGTGAATTTTGTGACAAATTTGCAGAGCCGCGAGCTAGAAGATCGATCTCCACATGCAAATTTACTTAGAGAGGTGGCACGACGACGGTGGCATGCAGCCACAGGTCGCTCTTCCTCCTCGCCGTGATCCCGAACGCCTCCGCCATGTCCAGCTCCTCCGTGCCCCCGGGGAGCTCCCAGTCGAAATGGAAGAGGAGGCTCGCCAGCGCGAGCTCCATGACGGCGAGCCCGAACGTGATCCCGGGACACATCCTCCGCCCCGCGCCGAACGGCAGCAGCTCGAAGTCCGCCCCTCTGAAGTCCACCGCCGCCGCGGACTCTTCCTCGAACCTCTCCGGCCGGAACTCCTCGGCGTCCGGCCCCCAGCTCGCCGCGTCCCGGCCGATGGCCCATGCGTTGACGAGCACCATGGCGCCCTGGGGCACGTCGTACCCCAGGACGCGACGGGGTTCCCGGCACTCCCGCGGGAGCAGCAGCGGCACCGTCGCGTGCAGCCGGAGCGTCTCCTTGATCACCAGCCGCAGGTATGGCAGCTCCTGCAGGGCCTCCTCCCGGACGCGGCTCTGCCCGGCGAGCACGCCGCGCACCTCCGCCTGCGCCCGCCGGAGCGCCGCCGGCCTCCGCATCAGCTCCGCCATGGCCCACTGCAGCGTCGACGCCGAGGACTCGCTCCCGGCCCCGAAGAGATCCCTCACCACGGCACGGATGGTCCCGATGTCGAGGGGCGCATCGCCGCCGCCGTCCAGAAGCACGTCCAGGATGTCCTCCTCTTCCTCCCTGCCGGCGCCGGCCGCCTTCCTCGCGCGTTTCTCCTCGATGACGCCGTCCATGAGCCCGGACATCTCCCGGATCATCGCCTCCGCTCGGCGCGTCGTCCTGCTGAGCGCGCGCGCGAGGCGCGACGACGGGAACAGGTCGGCGAGGCTGAACCCGGCGGACACCCTGAGGCCCTCCTCCAGGCACGCCAGGAAGGCGTCGCGGTTCCCGATCCGGCCGCCGACCATGACGCGCACCACGGCGTCGACGACGTACGTGGCGACGAGGGAGCTCACGTTCACGACGGCTCCGGACGTCGACGCCGACGCCGCGGCCACGGACGCGACGAGGGCGGCCGCCTCGGCCTCGCGCGTCCCCCGGAACGACCGGACCCGCGGCGCGCCGAGCAGCTCCGTGGCGCAGAGCTTGCGGACGCGGCGCCAGTGGTCGCCATACGGCGCGAGGGCGATGCCGACGCCGTCCCCATTGAGCGTGGTGATGGTGTTCGTCCTCGGCCGCGTGGCGAAGGCAGCGTCGTGGGTCTTGAGGACCTCCCTCGCCGCGGCCGCCGACGAGGCCAGGACGACGGGGAGCTCGCCCATGCGGAGCAGCATGAGCGGGCCGTGCCGGAGGGCGAGGTGGCGCATGGCGCGGTGCGGGAGCGCGCCCACGAGGTGGTGCATGCTGCCGATCACCGGCAGCTGCCACGGACCCGGAGGCGGGTTACCATACTGCTTGCGGCGTCGCCGGAGCTTGACAACGAGAAGAAGAGTGAGCAGTACGATGGCAGCGGCCAAGAGCAGGCCATGGCTCTCGTGGTTCGCCACCATGGCTTGGGAGTTCTCGTGGTTCCTATGGAGCGTATATGTAGGAGCTTATATCTAGGAGCTAGCCATTGTTGCCATGTTGCTCCCAAAATGGACAGGTGATGGATGCCATTTGAGCAGCCAGCAGATGCTTGCTAGCTCCATTCCAAAACAGATATATACTACATTGTTGCTCCCATTTGAGGTAGCCATTGTTGCCATTGTTGCTCCCAAAATGGACTGGTTTTCGTTGTAGCTGTCTAAATCATCGTCACTTAGAGTAGTTTAGTAGGCCTGATCAATCAGCGTCTTACTCCCTCCGTCCCATAATATAACACCGTTTTCGACACTGCACTAGTGTAAAAAACGCTCTTATATTTTGGGACGGATGGAGTATTGGTTAGTAAAAGCTAATCACTTATTGCATCTCATCTAAAGTGGTGTTGCCAGACATAACACCCAGTGATCACCATCATATTCACACATGATCCTCCATAATACCGACACGAATTCAAAAAGATCGTGCAGCGCAAAACGTGTACACATATTGTGTCAAACATATAAACTACACAGAGATGTTTTCTTGTATATATGATGATTCCTTCGACAATCGAAGCTTCAGGATCTCGCGTCCGAATCGCAGCTTCAGTGGCACAGCGGTGGCCGCCTAGAAGACGTCGGGGTTGCGGCGCCCGGATATGACACGCGGTTGATTCGCCTGCCTGATATGGGTAGACAGCGCATAGTTCACATCCTGCAACCAAAGGCAACACAAGAGCTGATGAGCAAGCAAAACCATGGAGAAAGGAGATGAAACGCAGATTAAGGCAATACGTTTTCAACGAGTTTCACAGACCTGTAGCTCCTTGATCTGCTGCTGGTACTTGGCGACGATCTCGTTGAACTGGGACCGCTCCTGCACCATGTTCTGGTAGTCCTTGAGCCGGTTGTCCTGGATGACGACGGCTCGCTTCAGGATGCTGGCCTGCTGAAGCAGGGCTCCAAGCATCTGCTTCAGTATCTTGTTCTCCTGGATGGATGGTGCAAACAGCATAAAAGCCACACAGGTGAGCACATCGAAATTTCCAGAAACACATCCCAGAAGTAGCCGGCAATTTGGCAGTATCAACTACTTCCTCTTTTCCAGAAATATAATGTGTTTTTTGATTTTCTAGGCTCAAATTTGATATCATTATACTTGTGCCTTATGTTGTGATTTTCTAACTATTGTACTGTCAATGTCTGAACTTGGACGATTATGATATGGAATGCTTTTGAACGGAGGGTATCAAGTAACTGCAGCAGATGCATTAGTTACCTCACGCAGTTTCTGCTCTTCATCAGGAGTACTGCAGTTTGCCGTAGATTTGCCGAACATTTCAAGTATCCTGAAGGCTCGATTCCTGGCATCGGCCAAATCCGAAGCGGCTGACATCTCCTTGACAATTAGCTCCACCCATTCAGTGCTGTTGGTTGGAGCATTCATCACCGGCGCATCAGATGCCACTGCGATTCACAATCATTCTAGTGTCAGACAAGATGCACATTGTACGATTTGTTCTTTTGAGCAACTGCACATTTTGTAAGATTATTGTTGGTCTACACAAGTTACACATCTCCGGTCATTGTTATCAGATAACAAGAGGAACGAGCAGACGGGCTTCTTTTTCAGTCGTGTCGGCCATACCTCCAGATGAGGAGGCACCGGCATTGGTCGTCGCTGAATCCGATGCCAAATAATCCCTGAAGCTTCTGATGGCAGCGTCCAGGACATTTCCCGACGCTTCGAGATAGCCTCGCAGAAGCTAACAAAAATCGCCAAAATTACCCATTAGACGAGTACAGAGCAACAGGGTGCAAATCAAAGATATGTCAGGATTTCAGAACACCATGGAAGAACTTCTGTGCACAAGGAGAGAACATATGCCCATGCTGTTTGTTTCGAGATATTTAGTTCAGACAGTTTTTTTCTGATGAATCCTAAATTTAGCCATCATATGTGAGGATTCAAAGTGGAATGATCCTCATGGGTGATTCCTACCCTGCTTCCTCTGTAATTTAGCCATCGCGCAAGAGGGAAATCGTGGTGGGTGATTCTTCTGAACTTATGATTTCCAATTTTATCAATCTCTGAACTCTGGTCTAGTCTGATTCAAGAAAGGGGGTACGGATCGACAACAGAAAAGAGAATTCAAGATTCAAGGCACTGTCTTTCTTGCATCGTAACCAAGTTCAATCAGTTCTTGCGGTCAACTAGATGTCTAAATCGGTGGGCTCCGTATGCCCGCGCACGACGTATCAATCAACCGAAAGAACAAGAAGCGCGAAAGAAAGAGGCACGGCGGGGGCGGGGGCGGGGGGTACCTGCGGCTCGGCGCCGGGGAAGATTTCCTGGAGCGCCGCGACGGGGTCGAACTCCATGCTGATCCCGAGGTCGGCGACCGCGGCCGCGGCGGCGGACGGCGAGCGCCGGCCCCGCTTCGCCTGCAGCAGCACCTCGAAGGGGTCGTCCAGGAAGGCCGCCGCCCCGCGCTTCCGGGCGCCCTCGACCTCCGCCGCCATGGCCGCGCCCGGCGAGAAAGGGGCCGCGGGCTTGGATGACGACGAGCTTGCCGCGCGCTCCTCCGCTAGGTGCCCCTGCCCGCCCTCGATGGTTTTTGGTGCGGCGAGGCGAGGCGAGCTGTGTGGCCGGTGGATGCGGGCGGGGCGGGGGTGGGGTGACTGTTTATACTCAGGCGGGCGGTGGCGGCGGTACGGCCGTTGGGAGAGGAAACCAGAGGTGACCAACGGGACGGCCCGGGCATGCGGTGGCCCGTTTGTAAGCAGGCCGTGCTAAACGGGCTGGCCCGGGCCCGTGTGGCACTTACTCGGCCGTAGACTTTTTTGTCTAGTTACTTCAAAAAATCCAGATCGTCTCAAAAAAAACTTCAAAAAATCCAGAAGAATCTGAAAAAAAAACATGTAGGGAGAAAACTAAAAATGAGGCAAAGAGTTCATGTGGGATAAAATCCAGCATGGAAGGATTTCACAGCGACCCCCCTCCCCATCAGGATTTCACAGCGCCACATCAAATTTGTAACTGGCTTCCTGTAAGTGTAAAATCCAGCGAACGGTCTTTTCTTATATTAGGAGATGGCATTTTTATTATTAAGAGATGTCATTTTAATTTAAGAGATGGCATTCTTTATTGATGGAATTTTTTGTTTATCAAGAGATAGCATTTGTATTATTAATAGATGACATTTTATAATGGCATTTTTCTTTATTACAATATGGCATTTTTATATTAAGAGATGGCATTTTCTTAAGAACTAATATTTTTTTATATTAAGAGACGGCATTTTTATTATGTGATTTTTATGGGGTTTCTCACAGTGGGGCAAATAAAGTAAAGCAATATTTTTCATGGCATTTTGTTAAATTAACATGACATTTTTTTATGAAGTGGTAAATTGGGCCTTTGGCCAATGGGGTCCCTCCCCCTGGGGTGGTTCGTTCGCTGGAGCAGCACCCCCTAGCGATCGATTTGTTCGATCCACCCCTCCTTCCCAGCGACTGATCACCAGATATTGGCGTCCTTTACAAAAGGATAAGAAAAATACAAAAGAACAAGGAAATTTACAAAAAGGATAAGAAAATTACGATGTGTCGTGCATGTATCAGCCCACTATTAGACATGTCGTGCTTGGCACGCGGGCCTCACTCGACGGACAGGCACGGCCCGTTTAGTCGCGTGTCAGGCGGGGCTCGTTACGTGTCGGGCCCGCGTGCTCATGGGCCGGCCCGTTTGGTCAGGTTTGGAGGAAGAAACCTTGGAGGAAACGGCCATGGCACAACGATCCAATCTGTAGTTTTAGACTCGTGCACACAACATACAAATCTCTACTATTTAAAAAGAACATGATGTTCCCATTTCATCTCTCTTTCATCCAACCTTCTTTATATGCGGCCCTCTCTTTTCTTCTCCTCTTTGATTTTTTCATCTCATCTCTGATTTTTCTCCCATCCATTCTTCCTAAAACAGAATCAACTGTCTCATGTTTTATTAACTTATCAAAATAAAAACATATTTTCTTGATAAGTCATTAAATTCTTACCAAATAAGTGCTTAACAATAAAATGACAGGTAAATCATGCGATTGCATACAAAAACTTGGTAAGATTTTAGAACGCCAATATAATAATAGACGTGCAGTCATGGACTAATCTAATAGAATGTCTATACTCCCGTTGCGATGCACGGGCAATTGTTAGTGATAGAAATATGGCTAGTACCTAAAAAGTCGTTTTTTAAGCAATTTGGCACGAAAACACAGTGGCAATGGTATTACAAAAACTTTGGGGCAACCGATACAGTAGTTGTGCGACTGCCGCAAAACAAAATCATGGTCGTGCGCAGCCCAACCGCTACCCGCAAACTTCCAGCCTCGCAACCGTTGCATGCATGCACCAGCGCCGCCACCCATTTTGACCACCATCACCGACACCGCCACACTCCCCCAAGTGCCATTTTTTTCTGACTAAAATTGCTGGATGGCCATATGGACTCTGACTAGCTCTTACAATTCATTTCTCTTCACATGGGGTACTCTATATGGTCTGGTGTTGGGAGGGAGGGAGGGAGGGGGGGCAGTACCACATTTCAGAGGGATTTCATGGTCACAGTCTCTAACTGGAGGTGGTCCTTCAGGTTCTTTGAAAACTTCAGGGAATTGTTGCAAATGTTTTACTTCGAATCCTTATGGGGAAGTCTATAAATTATACGTCCCTTGCTTGAATCATAACGACTTACTTCAATTTTAACCCTATCCCCCATCAGTATTCGTATAGAACTAGACCGTATCTTTCCTGAAATATAGCCTACGATGATGGTGTCATTCTCTAGCCGAACGCGGAACATTCCATTGGGTAGGGCTTCCGTAACTAAACCTTCGAAAGTTACTTTTGCTTCTCTCGGGTTTTTTTTCTCTCATGTTTTTTTTCTGTCATATTTTTTTTCTCCTATTTTTCTATTTTTATTTTTAGAATAGGAAGGGCGAGATAGAATTCGAGCACTATAGGCGGGGCGATTACCATATATAACATTATTTTGGTTTTCTACTGGCTGCTTTAACTATAACCCTAGCTCTATTTATTGGCTTGAACAAGATACGCCTTATTTGAATTGACTGAATAATTATAATTCAGAAAAGAAAAATCTTTCTTTGGGATTCCTGGCATTCAACGACTCTTTTCCAGACTAATTAGGAATTCTTTTCTTGGTCATTGAGATTCGTGGATAATTTAGAGTACTATTTAGGGATAGATCGTACCTCTTTTTTTATCCCCTCGAACAAATCGAAATGATTGAAGTTTTTCTATTTGGAATCGTCTTAGGCCTAATTCCTATTACTTTAGCGGGAGTATTCATTGCAATACAGGCGTGGGTATCAGTTGGATCTTTGATTGAGTCATTTTAGTGTGGTATGTGTCATATGACCACAGACAGTTGTATACTGTAGTAGTTTGCAGTACATAAGCTGGAGCTGCACTAACCAATAACTTGTTACAGATTCTCCCTTGAAAAAAACTCGTTAAAGATTCTATTTTAGTTGCTGGAGAGAGTGTTTCACAAGAAGGGATAGTTACAAGAGTAGTGCCATTCTGAAGAAGAGTTAATTTTCTTGGATCATAACTGAAAGACACTGGGTTGTGTTTAGTCATCCAATCACATCCTAGCACAATACCATGACCAGGAAGGTACAACACTCTGAATTTTAGTTGAAACTGAACTTTAACTGCACTAAATGATTTTGCAATGTAAGATCCAGACACGAGTTTTCCCTCCAGCAGCAACAGGTACCACATTGGTTTTGTAATTGACAATAGCACATGATGTTTGTATAGCAAATTTTAAACTCATAAAAGTGGAATTGCTGCCTAGGTCTACTAAGGCAATCGCTTGCTTTCCCGCAATACAAACCAGAATGGATGTTGTATTTACACTGTCAGTTTGCAGGGCTAGTAGTGAAATTTTGGTACACTGTTCATCTACATTTGGTTTTTTCCTCTTCTTCATTTGCGTCCATTTCTTCTAGCTCCATTGTACCGTCAGTAGGATCTCCCTCGGTTAATAGATTGATCATAGGCGCCTGTTTGAATTTATGACCATTGAACCACTAACCACCACACCTCCAACACTTTCCAAGGATCTCTTTGAGTAACAACTGGTGATTTAAACTCGGTGGTCCTTTTCCTTTGTATTCTAGTTTGAGAACCCCTTGTTTTCTCAAAACACGGATTTGGCTCAAGCCCAATAGCCAATTTGATCCCAAGGGCAAAGAATAACCAGTTACACCAAACGATGAAGTCAAAACAGCCAAAACCACACCTGTGACCCAAGTTAATTCATGGGGTTTTTTTCGCCAGGGCAGTGAGCCTCGCCTCGTGGCAGACGACGATCGCCTTGCAGAACCCTTGCCTCTTGAATCTCCTCGGCAGCCTTGCTGATGAACTCCTGAACACGTGGCACCTCCCGCCTGATGCCTTCTCCTGGGAAGCGTGCTCTGAAGAGCGCCTCCACATATTGCCTGTGAAATGAAGGAGGAGATTTTGCAGTAGCACAGCACTGCTGAAACGGTTTCCTGACTGGTGCTCCTAGCCCTAAATCCACATCTAACCAACATGCATCATGACAGTGTCACTGGTCACAGTGGACGTAACTGATATTCAAATTAGATCTCAGCCCATTCACATACTAGCATTTTACGGGCCAACTCTCAGTGATCATAGGTTTCAGACTGAATGACAATCATGCAAAGAATCGGGATTGTTTTGTATATATATGAAATACGAAAAATCGTTTAAACGCAACACGTTTGAACCAACAACACATGATGTATCATGGGAGCCTTGCGCCCCATCCCACGGCCAACTGCAACGGGTGGTCAGCAAACCAACATCCACCCAACAAATCCCAGACAACAACATTTTTTCTACGGCAGAGCACCACTAGTCTCAACTCTCAATCCCGGGCAAGCCAGGGCTCATCATCATCACCCTCAAGCCAAGCTAGAAGACGTCCGGGTTATAGCGCCCGGGCATGGAGCTGCTCTGCTGGGCCTGCTTCAGATGCATCTGCAGCGCGTAGTTGTTGATCTGCAACACACAAAGTAGATTCTTCAGTTCACATGTCTCAAACAGAAAAGGATGCGTGGGTTTGCCGAAAGGAAGGGCCCTAGACGAGGAGGGAGGGGTCGACCGTCACCTCGAGAGTCCTCAGCTGCTCCTGGTACTGCAGGACGAGCTGCTTCAGGCCCTGCACCTCGTGGCTCCGCTCGTCAAACTCCTTCTGCCGCTCGTGCTGGATCGCCACCGCGCGCTTCAGGACCGCGTTCTGCGACAGGACGGCCGTCATCTGCTCCTTGAGCATCATGTTTTCCTGTTTTGCCAATAAAAAGAAAACAGGATCTTGTCAGGCATCACTATTTTCTAATTATAATCCCAAGGCCATTTCATCCTCGAGACATTTATTTAGCGGCTACCTGATGCAAGCTCTGTGCTGCTTCAGCTCCTGCACCCTCCAGGATGGACTTCGTCAAGGCTTCCAGAGCTCTTGATGCACGAGCCCGCGCATCGTCCATGTCAGAAGCATTTGACATCTCCCTCACAAAAAGATCAACCCATTCAGGGCCACTATTACTTGGCTGCTGGCTAGCTGCGGCAGGTTGGTGTTCAGTAGCTGTGTCCACACCGCCGCTGGTAACAATACCTGCCAACATAAGGAACATTGTTGCTCTTGTCAATATGATGATAAGCTTATGAAATTAACGACTAATCGTTGCAGAGCAGTCATGTGGTATGTAATAGTGCAAGAAATTGAGTGTTTGGTGCTACTGGATAGAGAGATGAACTGTTATTCTAATCAATGCAAAACATGTAAGAATGGCCGAGGGTGCGGTGATCTGAATCTACGGGCATACAATCACATACAGTGACATGCATACTCCATAAGTTCATATGACAAATGGATCTGCACATGTTCTCTGTTTTGAAATGACAGCGCATGACCTTGTAGAAATGTAACAATAAAACATAAGTAAATGCAGCATGCAGGGTTTCTAGATGTCTAGAATATGAAGATAATATTACAGCACTGTTGTGTGTGTGTGCGTGGTTACTGCAACGGGGACAAATGCATGAGGAAGCACGATGTTATCCATTACCACTATGTGCCCTGGAAATGGAACAGCTTTTGGTGGAAGATATACCTTCAACAGATGGCTGGACTGCAGTCGGCCCGTTTTCAAACGCGGAACCAGCGGCCGACAGGTTAGCCTGATTTGACTCCATGAGGTGCAGCTCCTTCAGACTCTTTATTGCATCATCCAAATCATCTCCGGACGCTTCAAGGGCCCTCTCAAGCAACTGAAATCATTATGAGCAACCATAGTCAGCTACATGCACAGAAACAATAGCAAACATCTGCATAAGATTTAGTCAGCGGTACAACAATTGAGATGATAAACTACGTAAGCAATTGAGCCCTTCTTAGAGTAAGGTAACCATGTCCGGGTCCCTGGGGGCAGGAAACCCACCCTTGCAAGTCATCCTATGCACCCGCAAGCAGACACTATGCAACTGCAAGTCATTACCCGTCTAACGTTGGATTCCTAAGCATGTACTCCCTCTGTCCGAAAAAACTTGCCCAAGCTTATCCCTCAAATGAATGTATCTAGCACCAGCTTTTTTCGGACGGAGGTTGTACGTATTACACATGTATCAAACTGAGGTTGTACGTATTACACATGTATCAAACTGAAGTAGAAGCAGCTAGTTTCCCTATATCTGCACTTGTAAGCTTCCCAGGAATGCCACAATACTAAACACATAGTAACTCATAAAGAATAACAGCCATATGTGTTGTTGATTGCATTTTTTGTCTGGAAAAGACCAACGCTTTCCCTGTTGGTCGAGAATCGCAGGGCGGCCTCCCCCCTCAGAATGGGTTGACGCTACCCGAATTCAGAACCAAGTTGTGCTTCCTCACCGCATCTTGATGCCTTACCCCCTGCGTGACCCAGAAAGACGGAATTCATTCAGACTGGGGTTGCACGCCTCCCTTTCCACATCAGGCAAGGAGATGAGCACGAGCGAACCTTTGGGGATCTGGCCTTCGGCATCGAGGCGCCCGTAAATAGCAAATCTCAAATCTAGCAGCAGCGTCCAAAGCCGCGCCCCTTGCCATTCATCACAATTAAAAGTAACGGAGGAATCCGCCCGAAATGGCCGGGAAATCTAGCCGGCGAACGCCTACCCGCAGTCAATCCGTGGAAATGGCCCGTCTTTCGGCGCCGGAGACCCGGAAACTAGGTCAAATCGAGGGGAAAAGGTAAAGCGGGGGCGGGGGCCGAGTTACCTGGGGATCCATGGCGGGGAAGGCGGCCCGGAGGTGGTTGAGGAGCGCGTCCCGGCCGTCCCGGCGGAGGTGGTGGTGCGCGTAGCGGGAGCGCTTGGGCGCGGGGCTGTGGCGGGGGGAGGGAGGGGAGGAGGAGGAGGCCTGTTGGAGCAGCAGGTCGTCCGCGAAGATGGAGGAGGACCTCTTGCCGCAGACTACCGCAGACATGGTGGTGCCGCCGCCGCCGCCGCCCTCGCCCTCCTCCCGCCGCTCCAGCCGCGTCCCGCCGCCGTCCTACTGCCCGCCGCCCATCCGCCCGTCCGTCCCCCGATCCGCCGCCTCCTCCTCCCCGGTCGTCGCCCGCCGCCTGGCCCGGCTTGTGGGTCTGGTCGGGCCGGATGGATCGCGACGGCGGACGGGTGGATGGGTTCGGTGGTGGCGGACGGATGGGTGGGGGGGAATGGCGAGGCGAGGAGGCTCTCCTCCCCCCTCGTATTTATCGGAGGGTTGCCACGGGAATTACTGCCTGCCTTTTTCCAATTCCAGCGGCGGGGACGCGGCTGACAGGTGGGCCCCACCCTGGCCAGCGCACGCGCTTTTTCCCCGGCGACGCGGCTGACGGGTGGGGCCCACCCTGGCCAGGGCACACGTTTTTTTCCCGGCGACGCGGCTGACGGGTGGGGCCCACGCGCGCCTTTCCGGTCGGGCTCCGATGACGGTCGCCCGTGGAAAGGAGAAAGCCGGAGAACCTGGGTGCGGGACGGTGGGATGACGCGGCGCCATTATTATTATTATTATTATTTTCTTTTGAGAATTATACAAATCTATGTCGCTGCATGCAACCGGCGTCGACACGTGTATTTGGGCACTAGCAAATGATTCCTTCTTTTTTGTGTGTGTGTTCAACATATAAAAAAAAAGGGAGGGATTCCTTCATTTTTCAAACAGCGCCGCGACCAGAGACCACCTCCAATTAATAAAAATAAAAAAAAACACAGGAAACAGCAGGATCTCCTTTTTTCTTATTCCAAAGGATTTCCATTTAAGCACCTCCCCCCTGTCTGGACACACACAAAAATTGATCTGTCCTATATGAAAATTATACTCTTTCGTCGGACCGTGCGGACGGGTTTTCAAAAAAAAAGCCTATAGAACGAAACAGCTATGCAGACGATGCACTCCATGGACGACAGGTGCACGATTTTCATCTAGCCGTCTGCTGCACTTTGATAATATGCACGGACGCACGGATATGCCCTATCGTGCACAAATCGTCTGCTATGCGTCGTGTGCATAGCAGCGCTCCCTATAGAAAGCCTTCCCCTCGCCTCCCGCGTAGCAGCATTGGTTGTTTTCACAAGCATGGCACCACCGATGTTGTTGTTGCAACCCATCAACGGATCCCCTCGCCTCACGCGTTGCAGCATTGGGCGTGTCTTACAAACATCATCGCCCCGTGAGATCCCGATGGCAGCACCTGCGGATTCGGTGGTCGTTGCCCCTCGTAGCAGTCGTCGGGCGCCATACTCGCGGGTCGCCGCATCCCTTCTTTCCAGCAACCACCACCACCATTCATCGTTGTCACATCGCGTGATGCCCCCGGTGCGGGAGGCAAAGCGGGCACGAGCGAAATCAGTGGTTCTTCCCTCTTCATGGCGGCGCTGGAGTGGCGCGTGTGAGGCTGCAGCTCGGTGACGGCGGACGAAGCAGTGGTCGGTGGAGGAATGAGAAAGGGGCAAATGGGATGAGTGCCTACACAAAGGATGAGGCAAAAGGGTGGGCAAAGCGATGTTTGCTACGGTCCATGGCACGTGTCGCGCGACGAAAGTGGCAGATTTCTTCCGGAAATCAGTCGGGTGAACCGAAGCATTTCCGTTAAGAATCATGTATGACTTTGCAAGACATGGCTCGCGGTTCCTATATTTTTCCCATTCTTGTTTTCTTTACTAGGGTGTGTTTCAACCGGGGAATGAAAGATTCTAGTTTTTTTTACATCAAAATGAAAGATTCTACTGGTTGATATGATTTTCTTTGTTTAACTAGCAAAATTTCCTGTGTGTTGCAACGGGAGAAGAAAATATATCACACCCCATCCTTCTCATTGATATACACTTGTCTTTGTCCTTTATTTTTACATAAGACCACACATGTATTGTCACTTATATTCCTTTCTGCCCTCATCGACGGTCGTAGTGATGTCCACCTTGTGTCATATGCTATATCCAGCTAAAAAATCTGATGCAAGAACATAAGAGGTCAACTATAGTGGGGGGAATTCAGAAATGGGTATCCAAAAATAAGTGACATGCATGTTTGAAGTTTCCGGTGCGTTGCAAGGGGAGAAGAAAACATATTACAGCACATCCCTCCTCGCCAATACACACTTGTCTCTGTCTTTTTATTTCAACACTAGACAATTGCCCGTGCGTTGCAACGAGCGTATAAACATTCTAGTAGATTAGCCCGTAACTGCACGTCAATTATTATATTGATGCGCTAAAATCTTAGCAAGTTCTTGTATGCAATCGTCATGATTTACCTGCCATTTCAATGTTAAGTACTTATTTGGTAAGAATTTAATGACTTACCAAACAAAATATATTTTTATTTGGTAAGTTAATAAAACATGAGACAATTGATTCTATTTTAAGGAGAATGGATGTGAGAAAAATCAGAGATGGGAGAAAAAATTCAAGAGAAGAAGGAAAGAGTAAAACGTATATAAGGAAGGTTGCACGAAATAGAGGTGAAATGAGAACCTTATGTTCCTTAAGTAGTAGAGATTTATTGACTTACCAAACAAAATATGTCTTTATTTTGGTAAGTTAATAAAACATAATACAATTGATTCTATTTTAGGGAGGGTGGATGGGGAAAAATCAGAGATGGGGGAAAAAAATCACGAGGAGAAGGAAAAAGTGAAACATATATAAGGAAGGTTTAATGACTTTCGGAAATGGACGCAGAGTTTTTACACCCGAGCTCAAATGAGTTCGGGTGAACAGCAAAATCAAAACTAAATAAAGAATCCAAAAAAAATCCATACTTTTTTGGGAGAAACATTGACAGAAGTTTCAAGTGCTGATAGAGGCAAAGGTGTCCCGTCTTTCGATGAGATGATGGATATCGCTTTGGTGGAAGTCAACTTTGACGATCCGACTACGAACGTGCGAGGACGTCGCAACTTAGCAATCGCTAAACCAACTCCGAGAGGTTATTGACCACGCCGGAGCACGATCAACCTGACCACGAGGGTCCGTTTCCTGCGAGCAAACGAAGAACAAGCAAGAAACTGAGATTGCAATATAAGATGAAAGCTTTATTGATCAAGGTGGGGTTCTGTGACGCCTTTGTCTGGTCGTTGAACACAAACGAAGTACGCGAAGTTGCAAATATGGCGAACTTTAATCTAAGCAAAACCCAAAGTCTAAATGGTGCCCTAAGGGTTGTATATATGGAGGAAGAGGGGGGAATTTCGTGGCCCTTGGTGGAGGGGTCTGAAACCAACCCTATCTCTTGTTTCCCCACACATACGGACTCTAAAAATAGCCTATACTTATGTATTTCGAAATTACATGGGCATGGCCCAATAAAAAGGTGACGCAGCACCTAGAATAGCCTCTGGACGAAATTTATGAAGTGGCATCTTGTATATTCCATCCAAGGCTTCATGCACTCGTTATGGTGGCTTCAAAGACCTGAAATCATCACTTGTAACTCCGTTCTTGTTCCCCTTGCGCATGTCATCATCTCCATGCTGCTCCAATGTTCATCCTTCTCGAAGCTAGGCCCTTCATTTGTAAGCAAAACAAATGTATCCAATTTAGGCAGCATCATATTCTCATGAACATTAAAATCATTACCAAGAAAGGAAAGTACCTGGTAATTTAGTTGGCGTGCGCGAGCTCTAGTAATTGGTCCAGTATGTATAGCAGCAGGGCTGTGGGTGTAAAAATGGTATTGATGTCCTCATCAAGTGCTTGCAAAAATTCGTCATGAATGAAATCACATTTCTAGAAGGCGTGGCAAAAAAAACAAAATCGGTACTCTGAAAATGCTACTTTCAAAAGCATTTTGGAGCATTGAATTTGTTTAGTTTTTTTTGCCACGCCTTACAGGAATGTGATTTCATGATGAATTTTTGCAAGCACTTAGAACCTTTTTTCAATGTTTCTCCAAAAAAAATTGGAATTTTTTGAATTGTTTTCGACTTTACTGTTCACCGAGCTCGAATGAGCTCGGGAGCAGAAAGACACTTTTGGTAATGAGAACCTTATGTTCTTTTTAAGTAGTAGAGATAGGTTGTTTGGTTTGCTGTCCCACCCAACTTCGCCGTCAGCCAATCACCACCGTCCACACCCAATCCCACCACCCCGTGGCCAGCATCCTAGCCGCACCGCCTCCTCTGGCGACGCCCCGGCTATCCCTCTAACCCCCTCCTCCCAGACATTCAGCAGTGGCAAACAAAATAGCTTTGCTCCAACCCTGCAACCCTGGGACTCCCTTCCACCGCCAGCAGGGTCGTCTCAGTGCTCTATAAGGGATTTTCTCCAAGCGACCGAAGAATAGCAAACTTTTTTCGAAGTGCGTTTTCCGGCGCGAGATCGGGAAGGGGCAGTAATGCTGAGGTGACATGTGTGGCGACATGAGCACGCCCGCGACGGGCGACCGCGCGGCGCCGCTGCCGGGCTGATCTCCTTCCTCCAACCTCCCCTGCCTCCGGCGGCCCCGGATTTGGAAGCTCCGCCCCGTCCGCTCGCCGCCCGTCCCAGCTTTGCTGCTCGTCGTGCCCGAGCAGCCCGTGTGGAAGCTGCGGGAAGCCGCGTCCGTGGCGGCCCCATGTCCGCGATGGCTGCGCCGTCATCGTCGGCCGCTTCGGGCCCGTCGCTCTCCGCCCCTGCTCTGGCCGCCGCGCTCGCCGCGGCCTTCCTCGCCGGATGCAAGGCTGGCCCGGCCGTGCAGGGGCGCCTCGTCTCTGCGCCGACCAACCAACCTCCGCCGCTCGCCGCCCCCGTCCACCTTGGCGCGGCCCCCGCGCCCCTCCACCAGACCCCACCGACGACGGCCACACTGCCAGCGCCTCCGACCCCGCGCCCGCGGCCACTGCCTCCAGCCTGTCGGCTACGGTTGGAGAACGACGGCCGGCAGGTCTCCCGCCCGCGTTCCCTGAAGGCTGCAGCGGCGAGCTCTTTGGCCCAGTCGTCCGTCACCCCCGCCTGCTTTGCTGGTGCCGCCTTCGACCACCTGCTGAAGCCACCGGCGACAAGCCCCATCGGTTCCCCACCGCTCGATCCAGATCAGGCGGATCTGGATCCCGTCTCTCAACCGGCTCCGGCTGTGCTCGGCTCAATGCATGTCTCCCGTTGCTCCATCATCCATGGTGAGGGGGGGAGTGGCGGCTTCTCTGGATGCAGCTTCAGCTCCTCTCGCCATTGTTGTGAGCGAAGGGCTCGTCGTTCAGGCGCCTCCGGTGCGTCCGGGCTGGGGAAATTGGCGAGGATGTTTTGACCGGGTGGCGGCGTCAACAGTTCCTATGGCTCCATGCGAGAATGCTTTGGGAGGTTGGCAGCTCGTCTCGAGAGGGCGCCGCTCGGCTCCTGCTGCTTTTCGTCGCCTTACTGTCAATGTGCGGAGTCCCCCTCCGGCGTGGCTGAGAGACAGGTGTTTTCGGTGCCTCTGTCGAGGTCACCGAGCATACTCTTGTAGGGATCCAATTCGATGCACGGATTGTCTTCGATCCGGCCACATCGCCCGCTTCTGCCGTGCTGAGAAGCATGCCCATGCTTCACCACTCCAATGTCCTGCTCCATCACCTGCATCCATCGATGATGTCTCCATGACAGATGTGCAGTTCCAACCTATCTCGACTGAGCAAGTTGGGTTGGCGGAGGAGACCGAGCTGCTTCGCACCGAGCTTCGTGATTGCCTAGTGCGAGCCGAGAATGTTTTGGGGAGGGCGGAGGCCGCTCTCGCCAAACTAGAGGTGGTGCCGGATGTGTCTTCGCTGCCCGAGCTTCAGATTGGGGTTGTACCCGATGTGTCCTTGCTGCCCGAGATTCAGGTTGGTTCTGTCGATGGGGAAGCATGCATGTATGGAGATCTCTCCCCTCGTGCTACATCCTGTCGGTTGCCGTTGCCTGCCGTGCCGATTACTTCTGGGAATGAAGTTGTTGTCGAGATCGTGGCTCCGGTGCTGCAGATTATGCCTGAGCTCCAGAAGGTTTGTAGGGATCCTACTTCGCCTATTTCGATGGTGCTTCCTAAGGAGATGGGGCCGCTTGGAGGGAACTTGGTGATGTTGATTATGACCTCTCCGCCGCCGTTGGAGCCCATTCAGACACCCGACTTTGTGGACTGTGGAGGTTTGGCTGCTACTATTGCTCTCTCACCTGAGGTTGTTGACCAGGTGGCGTCTGCAGGTGATGAGGTAGGTGCTTTGGCACCTAATTCTGAGGTGACGAAGTCCATCCGGTCGCCCATCTTTGACCGTGATGCTATGATGGCACATATTGACGAGGTAGTCTTTCTGAAAAAGCTTGGCCGCTTGCTCGCCTCCTTGGAGGTAGCTTCTCCTGGGTCTGGCAAGGCGATTGCTTGCCTTCTAGCGGAGGAGGTTTCTACGGGCAAAATGAAGAAGGTGAAGAAGGCTCTCAGGACCATAGGCAAGAAGAGGGGTGTCATTGGTAAGGCGTCAGCGGCTGCTTCATGGAGGATACTCAGTCCCATTGTCCTCCATCTCCGTGGATTTGGTAGCGTTTAATGTATGCAACCTTGGTTTTGTTGGGGGTTTCTTTGAGGCATAGAAGTGTGAGGGTTCATGATTGTTACATGTTATGTGTATTTGTCGGGTTGATCGTGGGGTTATGGAGTTTGGTTCTTAGCGAGTAGTCCGCATGTGGTCTATATGTATCGGTTTTCGCCCGGTTTTCCGTTAATTAACTGGGCAATTCTCTTCTTCTTAATTAATCGATGAAAAATCTTTTGCCTCCGTTTCAAAAAAAAAAGAATAGCAAACACAAATCATTAGGTTTCCAAAAAAAAGCTTTTCATTGATTGCATGAATTTCAGGCACAAATGCGAATTTCATTAAAAAAAATCATTTCTCACATGAAGGAGAAAACATATTCACAACTGGTCACACAAGAATTCAAGATGCGGCGGAATGCACTCCATGGGTTTCAATTCTCGCATGACTTTCAAGAATTTCAAATTTTTCAAGAGCAAACGTGAGGTTCGTTAGGTTTCATGTAAAACCATTTTGCTTCTAGCAGGAAACAGAAAACATATTCATAACCGGTCACAGCAATTCAAGATGCAGCTTATCAACAGCTCGGCAGAATGCGGAATGCACCATGAGAGAACACAATTCTTTCCCAGTTACAAATTCAAAACAGCGAAAACGTCTGGAGCAAACTGTGCAGTGGAGTTCTCACCTCACCACCTCAAACATCTACACAGAGATAAAGCAACCATGTATACCACCAGCTCTGCAGTTACATATATAGAAGCATGGCACAAAATGGGGAACTTGTTTATTTTCTTTCTATCTATCATCATCACTCAGCGCCGAAAACCCTCCCCATATCCATCTAAATATAGATATATATTATCCTCCCACGGATTTTCCACGTCGACAAGCAATAATACAACACCACGACAGTACCGCCTCCACGCCGAGACCAGAGGGGGCAGGACAGTGTGAGACTCCTCCTGCTGTTACTCTGGCAGTATGCTCATCATATCAACTCTCATCAGGCCGGCCGCATAACTAGGGGGGCAGCTAATTCACAAGGATATATATACACCGGCGCTTCTATCTGTCCAGCAGCCAGTTGAGGACCGTCTTTTTCGGGACGACTCCGTCCGCGTCTTCCTTCCCCGGCTTCACGGAGGTATTTACAGCGTTGCGGATCACGGAGTTGAGGTGCATCCTCAGCTGCGCGTTGTCGATGAGCAGGTCGGACAGCATCTTTGTTGTCTCTTCGTCGGTGAGGCTCGAGTCTTCGCTGCCCATGGTAATTGAGGATTTACCATCGGAATTTTCGCCATCATCGGAAGAGCCCCCCTGTTCGTCGTCCAGTGCTAGATGCTGAGCCTACAGAGATCAACGTAAAGCAAGGATTTCCCCCACATTTTAAGTCAGCAGGAAAGATAGTAAGTACGTGCGTACATTAAGATATTGAGATTGATTGCGCATGTTGCAGACTACTAATTAGCTGACAGGTAGCACATTCATGATCAAAACTTGGAACGAGGGAAGTCTAGCTACAGTGCTTTCAAGTTCAAATAAATGCTATTTCAATGATGGCTGCAGCTCCGAACTAAAAATGATCTGCAAGTAAAGTCTTTCTAATACAAAAGCAGGACTCCATTGGTCCAAGTTCTCAACTGAAACTTGAGCTCCAATTTACGACTTTGGCTTCTATACGAGAAGCTAGAGCTGGAGTTTGGCAAAGCAGGGCTTCATCTCAAATGAAAACAGCCTACCAGAAGAAGAAAATTTACCTGAGCAACAAGAAGGCGTATTCTATTGTCTGACGTCGCCAGAAGGTCTAGTGCATCAGGCAAAGATGATGGGTCAACAGTCAAGTTATCTTGTTCTTCTGCAAGAAATTTAGCACTACATTCCTGTAGACGCTCACGGAGCAGTCGGCATTCATGAAGCATTTTTTCACGGGATGACTTCACACGTGCTGACCGCTGCTTCTCTCTATTAATAATCCTCTGAACAAATGGAAAATAACTAAAAATTATAGAGAGAGAAACACTGATCACATACAACTAGGATACTGTTATAAGTGAACAGAAGCTTGAATTAAGGAAACATTGATGAGTTGGTATATAAATAATTGGTTTAAAGGTGTAAACAGGCATAACAGAGTTAATCTGGTGGCAGCAAGCCTGTACCGATATTAAATATTGCTATTGTTGCGATTCTCAAAGGAGGAATGGATTATAATTTTACGAGTACCTCTAGTTCAGTCTTCTCCTCAACATACTGATTCAGCACTTTCTTCATCTCTCTTTGAGAATTCCTAAGGGACTTGACTTCTTTAACAAGAACCTTCATATCTGTTTTAGATTTTGCCTCAACTTCTCCAAGCTGCCGTTGCAAACTCTCAACTTCTTTTCGTTTCGTTTCAAGTTCTTCGGCTAACTCTTCTCTATTACCACTGGCGGTAGCTTTCTCTGATTCCACACGAGTTTTCTCATCCTGTAAGTAAATAGAGGAAGATAATCAGAATCCTCATAATATGAAAAATTAAGAAATGCTAAGGCACAGGAACAGAGAAAAAACTGACTTGTTCCGCCTTCAGGTTTGACTCCATCTCAGAGTACTTCCTGCGAAGCTCATCCATATCCCATTGCATCTGGGTAATCCTCTCTCTTTCAGCTAAGATAGCTTGATGTAATGTGTCTCTGCCTTTTTGCTTTGTAGCTTCCAACTCACCCTCCAAGTCTTTTACCTGCATCAGAAGTCATCAGTGGAAGGAAATTACCTAGAATCCACATAATAACTATACGAGGCCCAAGAAAGTCCACTGAATGCCAATGAAAAACGCATAAAAGCAACAAAAGACGCTTGGCCTGATCCTGGAATACCAAGAGCCTGATTTACACTAAAGCATAGAAAATAAATATCAGATAAAAAGTGATACCTTTGTGGAAAGATATTCTTTGACCGCTACTTCCTGATTTAGGCGTGCTATGAGATCCTCCATATCGGTTTTTGCTGTCCCTATTCTTCTTTGCATGGTTACCAAAAGTCTACTCAACTTCTGTCTTTGATCAGTTGGTAGGATGACTTGGGCATCCATATCATACAAAAACTGCATATCTACACCAGCAAGATTTTCTGTTTGACTATGTCCATCCACACCACTTGGGAGATCCACAGGACCATCCCATAGGGAACTACTAGCCCCTGGAGTTGACAATTCACTTCCTCTTAAAGAACTCAAATCACTGCCTAAACTTTCAGAAGAATCCTTCCGAGCATGACCAGGGTTAGAATCACAATCCTCTTCAGAAACTACTCCCTTGGAAGACTCTACTGAACCATTCCTTCCATCATGTTCCGAAAAGACAAGACCCTGTTTCCTGCTTTTTGACACACTACCAGCATGCTGATCAGACTGACCTGATACAGATTCTCCCAGCACACCGTTACCAGTTACTCCTGTCAGACTGATGCTACGAACAAGTCCCGGGTTTATTTGACTGGACTCAGAGAGAGCACCTGAACCAGGATCATCAGAATGACGAGAAGAGTCTGTACTGCTTTTTATTGAAGTACCTGCTTCGGGGGGACGCTGATTCCAATCTTGGAAATCTGAATTCAGTAAAATGGAAGAATTCAATTGTCGATTATGATATATAGCACGCACAATTAAGACATGGATCAATGCACACACAGAAAAAAAATCTTCATTATGGACCAATGCACATACATGAGCGTGCGGCAGCTTCAAGTTCAAGAAAAGCAGCAACATGAGCACTTCTCGATAAGTCAATATCAGAAAGTAGCTTTTGCATCCACTCCTCCAAAGTATTCCTTCTCTGCAACCAAAACATTTTTAGAACCACAAGTTCAAAAGGCAAAGCACAACAGAATGTAGCAATTAACAATGGGTACAGCTAACCTCTTCTAGAAGCAACCTGCTTGAATTTATTCTTAAGAAGGCATGTTTCGGTGGAGCAGGGGGGATGTCTGTTCTGGGAAAAGCACGCTTAAGCTGAAATATGGGAGAATTGTAGCATGATGAGTGATGAAATAAACAAAATCTTGCATTATATAGCATTACAAAGCACATAGTTATTCTTTCTTCAATCAGGAACACATCAAACATGGAAATTGTACAAAGCCATACTGTTGTTATATTCAAGAAATATGATGCAATTGAATGCAAATGACACTGCACCAACTATCTGAATGCACATTGTGTGTGTGAGAAGAGTGCACACTCATAAAATCACAAAATGCACTCCCATGGCTTTAATATGCAAGACATGTACAACAATAACATAGCAACAGTTGTATTAACTTACATCAGAACACAACTTCAGAAAGTCACTAAACCTTCGAAGAACTCCATGGCTAGAGCTAACGCCTTCCGGTGATTGTATACCAACATGTATCCTGTAAAACTGTCCTTTATGGGCATTAAAGAAAGGTCATGGAAAAACAGGAACATTTACATGAAGCAAGACCTCAAAAACAAATTAGTGTCCTATAAGCCTATGAGGCCAAAAAATAGAACAATGTAACGTGCAAGATATCATCTACAACTTGGAATTCTTAAATTTAAGTCCATGTCTCCATGGTATACTAAATTTTATAATACATCCACATGATATGAACTTAGATACCCCTTAAGTAAAACTTCAATATAGGCTTGATAAATGCCAAACAATTTTTGTCTTTTTATTGATCTGTCGAAATTTTCTCGCTTGTATTCCCATCTAGCTCATTTTGTTATAGCACAAAGTTTTAATACTAGCGACGTGTCAATTACTATCTGAAGACATGTAACAAAATTGATTGACTAAACTCCTGGACCGAATAAGTGAGAAAAACAAGAGGGTAAAAGATAAACGATACTCACAACTATAGATTTCAAGAAGTTGTCAGAGGCTACACCAGCTTCGGGTGTTTGAGCAATCCAAGAAGGTATCGTCACACAGTAACTCCAGCCTGTTTGAGGGTTATGTGGCCAGACGGTGTTCCTTCCCTCCTGCGTGCAGGCAATAAATATGAGCTCGTAAGAAGACTCGGATAATGTTCAGAGCATTCTGTCGGTAACGCCCTCATCTTTGCAACGGAACCTGTTCTAAAAAACAATTCACTCTAAATGCAACTACCTAATTGCGTATGCACTAGTAAATTTTGCCAATTAAACAAAATATCCAATTGGTTGTGCACAGCAGTTAATTTCTTTCCTCTTTGGGTTGGAACAAATTCAATGCATGGGATCAGGCAAAAAAACGCAGCAACCGTGCTGCATGGTGTGTTGCTGCAGAGGATCGCAACCCCTAGTAATGAGGATCAGGGACTCTCAGTGTATCAACCAAGGTGTTTTTCAGTACAAAGGCGTCATTCAGTTGGTTGTGTGAGACCATTTCTGGCGAATGCATGGTAAGGATGTCTGTCGTTCAAACAGGGTACAGGCATGATCATCACACAACATAGGCAGGCCTAAGAGCATGGTTAATAGCATATCCGGCTGCAGGCCTAAGAACATGATCATGACACAACATAGGCAGGCCTAAGAGCATTGTTAATAGTACGGCTGGCTGCTGGCTATAGGTCGTTGCCAGCACGTATAACAGTTAGCTATAGAGGTCAATTTAATAGCAAGCTTGTTGGAATAATAAATAAAAGGAGGACAAAACCTACATCTATCATGAAATGAACTGACCTAGCTATGTGGGTGGTAAAATTCATAAGCCCAACTGGGTGGTAAAATTCATAAACCCAACTTGTTGATATTCAGATGTCTGAACCCTAGCGTAGGGCAAGCTCCAAATCACTAATCACTGAACAGGCAACCGCAGGCAACTTGGCAACACTTAATTCGCAAAATCCCAATGCAGATAGATCCTATCCCCAACATTAAATACCTCGGCGGACTTAACTAGCTGCTGCCACGGACCGCGCATCCGCAACGAAACCGAGGTGAAACCCTGCTCGGCGCGGCCCACTCGGGCGATCGGTGGAGAGCAACGAAAGTAGAAGCAATCCAGCAGCGGAACCGAACAAATCTGACGCTCGCGGCGCGGGATCACGAGGCCCCCGGCGCCACCGGGCCGGGCGGCGCGGCGTCGGCCCCCGGACGGATCAGAGCGCGGGGTGGGATCGAGGCGGGGAATTCAGAGGGGAGGGGATCGCGGGGGCTGCTTACCCATCGCTTGGGGGGCGGGCTCCAGTCCATGCCGAGCGGCAGCGGCGAGGTGCCGTCGTGGCGGTGCTTCGGGGGGCCGCCGCGGGGCGTCCTCCTCGCGGCCGCGGACGACGACGACGACGCCGACGCCATCGCCGGGCCCGCTGCCTCCCCCTCCTCCGGGGCGGGGCGGGGCGGCGGGATCGAGCTGGGGGCGGGGCCGACGGTCCCGAGGGAGAGATTGGAGCTGGGGCGGAGGCGGAGGCTCCCGCGGCGGTGGCGAATCTAACTGTCAACGCCACCCTCCCAGACCCAGCAGCTTCTTCTTCACCGTGGCGTTGGTGGGAGGGAGGGAGTGGTGGGGGGGATGGAGCGGAGCTGGGCCGGCCGGGCGTGGGCGTGGGCGTGCCGTGCGGTGCGGCTCAGCCTGGGTTTCTCAGCCCAGCCACGCGGGTTGGACAGGGAAGGTGGGACATGGTTGTCAGACACGCCACGCTCAAAGAAAAAAGAGGTATTAACTTTTTTTTTCCTTTTTCCTTTTTTCCAATAGAGCCGAAATCAAACACAACCCTAGAAGAATGAAGGGAAATACTACCCCGCACGTGTCGGTTGTGGGTGATGTTGTCGTCGCCCCCTAAGTTCCGCGTCGTAGCCAGAGCAAGAAAGCAACGTCTATGGCTCCGAGAAGAGGATGGCCCAAAGACGGGGCTTAACTGCAACTCATGTCGGTATATGCATCTCGTATGCTTGGCGCCCTCTAGATGCGGAGCACGACGAGGAGGTAGGCGGTAGCTGGTTATGTTTTCCTTGGGAGGTTTGTTATTTGCTTGTATTGGTTATTTGTTTCATGTGTTGGGTTAAGTTGTAATCACTGTCTAGTAGACCGGCGGCCGGCTGATGGTTCGCTAGATAGATAAAATATTTTCAATTTCAACAAATTTTCGCTTACTTTCCACGGTTAGTTGCTGGAATGCTTGAACATGATCTCCTAATTGGTCCTTTAATCAGGTCCAGAATTTTATGTTGGTTATCTTGTCAATAAAGTCCAGAAACATCCTTTCAAGTCCAACTTATGATTTATGTTGTAAACCGTAATTGTGAATGAGGCCATGTCCAATGTCCCTCGACCCTGTCAACATAAGGAAATCACATGCTGGAGAGGGCCTATAGATTGTGCGAAATCCCGAACTATAACTGATATGATTTACTATAATGCAATGATTACGAAGGCGAAAAATGGCACGCATCACAATTAGGAGGCCCATGTCACTCGGGGGGCCAAAATGCATTTTCACACTTCGTGCCCTATTGAGCATCTAGGATTAATTTAAATAGAATTCACGGAATGGGTCAATTAGAGTTAGTTTGCACGTTCCGTTGAAATATGCATTTTAACTAAATAGTGAGTTACAGAAATGCGTGCACAGCTGCACTTTTGTTTGACCACAAACTTAAGTATAATGTGCTTTTCTCGTTCCACCGTGCAAAATATAGTTGTAGAAAATGTTTGCGTCATCTATGGTTTGAATACTAAGAATACTAGGCCCGTAAGGGATTCTTTTTTCTGTTTTTTTTGGATTTTTTAAAGGCTGCTGTAAAAATGACGCGTGGGCTGGACTGTTCCTCGTCGTTGTTTTTTACTGGTCAAACTTGTCTAGCCTGTTATTCACGAGGATTTTACACGTGGAAGACGCGTGGTGGGCAGGAAACGTGCGTGTGCGATTTCTGTGGTGACACGGTATCTTCTCTTTTCTTCTTCGTGTGTCCGGTCCTCTCTGGAACCTCCCGCTGCCCACCGCTTTGCTGCTGTACGAGAGTATAAAAGGGTTCGCTTCCTTCTCCGCTTTTCACACATGCATCTCCAGTTACCAATCCCAGCGACGCCGACGCCCATCATGTGCTCGCCATAGGTCACCGTTGGTCTCCCATCTTCCCTAGCGGCTAGCGCCGGCCCCCATTGGGAGCCACGCGTAGAGGCCATGAACAAGGCGGGCCGGCGACATAAATCAGGCCGCGGCGGCGTGGTGTTCCCGTCGTGACATGTGCTTCTCCCGGCGGCCGAGCGGCTCCTCGACGTCCATGAGGTCCCCCACCTTGGCCTCCTCCACCAGTGTACATCAGGTGCCTCTCGAAGCTTCTGCATGCCTTCTTCACGTCGGCGTCACCACAGGCGAAGTCAACGCCGCTCAAACTATAAAAATTGGTGGTAATAGGTTTCGTCGGCGATGCGAATACTGCGGCCGAGCCTAGCTGGGCCTGCAGCGCAAGCACCCGCGCGACTGGCATCGTCAACGCGGCTTCCAACTCGGCGAAGAGGGGCGCACGGCGCGAGATACCGTGTTGTTCTTCTTGTCAGGAGACGTCAATGCGGTGGCCTTGCTGATCTGAGCCTGGATGTTGAGCAACCGCACGGCCATGGTCGACGCGGTACCGGTCATGTCGAGGGACGGCAATAGCGTGCGCACCGCAGTGCGGCCGCTGTCCGCCGAGGAGCTCTACGGGGGACGGTCTGCGATGTCGCCGCGGTCGACATCGGACCCCATGGACACAGCGGCCAGAAGACTGCACGCACAGAGCTCAAGCTGTTGGCACGGTGGCGGCACCGGCGCTTGCGTCGGAGCAGCTTCGGCTTCGGCGGCTGCCACAGCTGCTGCGCCCTCGGCTAGCCCCTGAAGAGCGAGAGCCCGCCGCTGCACTGGTTGCACTCCCTCTGCATGGTCCACGCGCCGAGTTTTCGACCTCGACCACGCCCAACCGTCCGGTGGCAGCCATGGACCGCGACCTCCCCGATCATGCCCCACCATCTCACATTCCCTCCTCGCCTCTAGAGCTCCGCCGTTGCTTCCGTCTCGGCCGTCAGCCGTTGGCATCACCGCCATCGTCTTCACCTTGGTGCAGCCATCTCCTTCTTGACTTGAACATACACTGAATATTTCAGGCTTGCATTCAGTATTTGTTATGTTGATCACCTTGCTCTGCTTTTCCTTTGAGAAACACCAATGCGGCTTATATGCCTCAGCACACTATATACCCAAGTTATGACATTATCCAAGCAACGCACTCTGAAGAAAACCCGATCCTTTTCTGATTTCAGTGATCCAGTGATGGACTCAAAATTCTGATACGTACCAACTACTATTTCTTTTCTTTTTCTTGAAGAGGACTAACTACTATTTCTCTGTGTTGGTGGCAACTTTTAAACAGTGTCTTCACACATTAGCGATTTTTACTTGTAAGCACATGCCAATTCAGTTTGCAGAATGAAGTCTTATATGACATTGTGATTTGCTTACACTCAACACAGCTATAGCAAAATGACATACGGATTGTAAGTGATTAGTCAGAATCAGTGACATCTGGTTAGTAACCTGATATAATGAGCATCTTTACGTTTTTGGTTCCTGACCGTTAAGCCCACAAGTGAGAAACTGCTGTTTTGAAGTCAGGACTATCTTTTTTCTCAGTGGGAAGTGCTTTTTCTTGCCCTTTCTGTACACCAGCAACTAGATGCACCATCAGAGTGGCTGTGAGGCAGTAACGTTGAATCTGAACTTGGCGAATTTGTGTTCTAGCGCCATTGAATATCAGGTTGGTTAAAGATCGAACATTAGAATTCATGAACATCTTTCCGGCAAATACAAATCAAGTTGTCTATAGATGGGATGCCGCTATGCCTGCTTTGATGATTACTAAAGATTTGAGAAAGGGTTATTGTTGTATGGACATTTTCTTCTGTTATCTTTCTTGAGCTGTTATCACAACAACGTTTTTTGGTTAATTATTGTTCTGTGACTTAACAAATATGTGTTGTTAGTGAAGTGCATATTGCTGAAGTAGATGTTGTATATGACCATCATACTGCAATGAAAGGCAGCACCGCTACAATGAATGATAGGTACGATTCCAGGAAAAGCAATATCTGATTTTAACTCTAATAACTTAGAATCAATGATAGGTTTAGACGGGTTCGCTTAGAGCTTTGGCTATTTTTTAATGCTAATATTTGGTTCACATCGAAAAATAATTTGTATTAGTACCTCATATGTGCCGATACAAGGATACACTATATTCAAAGGTATGCTGGGAGCTATAATATGTACATGTCAAACACCATTAACATTTAGGCTCGATAATTAATATAAACTTTTCTTGATCCATATATCTGCACTTATTTTATTTTGCATACAAGTTTACACACAGGCGATTTATACTTTTTATGACTGTTTAAGTACTCAGTTTCTGTTCTGGAATAATTTTTAAAACATGCTGCTAATATTTGTAGGAAGTGTGCAAGCTCTTTGATGATGATGTGAGGGTTTAGGTCTATGCCTGTGCTGCTAAGACAACTTTCTGATTTTAGGTCTCAAAACACACTATTAACACCCCTCCCACCCCACCCCAACAATAATGCCATGGTTCTGGAATGTGCAGGGGGTGCACAATTTTGAGAAGTGCTATACACACGACACTCATCGGACGATACACAGACGATAGGTAAATCTGGCCGGACATACATATGATTAAACAAGTCGCCAGCCGCTGGATTGACATGTCGTCGATAAATCGCGCACCTACATTGTACATGGAGCAGTTTCGCACAATTTTCCCCTGTGATAATTTTCACTGCTGGGACTGTATGGATGGTTGTGGCAGCTCTTCCAGTAAACGCAATAGCTCACAGAGAACCATCCATACAGTTCCAACAGTGAAAATGCCACACAAGAATGGAGCAAGACTAAAGAAGAAAAATTAGAAATACAAAAATAGCAAAAAAAAAGTCTCCAATGAGACAAGTCAACGCGAACAAGGATCCCCAACAAGGTTTGCCTCCAATTTCAAGACATTTTGCCAATCCGTCGAGAACCAAGACGTGCATCCAACAACTTCAACATTGTTTACAGACGACCAAGAACAAGATTAAAAGAGCGAGCTTCGTCTCTCTATCACTACGTCAGCCAAATCCAGCTGGAGGATCAACATCTTTGGTCTAAGATGAGAACTAGAGCTTCACAATTATCGTTATGGGTTGTAGACCACCTATGCATATACCAACTAGATGTACCTTTTCCTTGTATAAACTGCTTTGCCACTGACCAAGTCTTTGGACGACTTACCAAATATATAAAAAAACTAAATAGCCAATTGATCCATGT